GACACATGCGGCACCATCTGCCATGCTGCGGACAAGTACGCAGGGCGGTGGGGAAAGCGTTAGGACTTCTCACTAGGAAAGGGAAGCACATCAGCTTTTAGAAATTGGGCTCTATTCTCCTGATTATTGCTGGTCTTGGCAGTGGAGTTTTAGACCAAAGGAGATTCTAGGCCCTTTTATCTTTATACTTCTTTCTCGGGTAGAAAAGAAAGCATGGGCCTTTTCGTTTTCCAGGGTGACCTTGTAGTGTACTTGAAAAAGGGTCAAAGAAGGTGCTTCTCTTTGCCCTGAGCACAAAAGGAAAGATGGTTTTTCGGGCTTCTTCAGTCCCTTGCTTCCTTCCATTTGGCTTTCGTGCCAGCCTTCTCGGCCACATGGGTGTCTGAAGGATTTGTAGACCTGCTGTCCACTATGGAAACCCCCAGCCACACATGGCCGTGGAGCTCTTGGAATATGGCCAGTCTGACTTGAGATGTGCTGAGAGTGTAAAAAGGCCACTAGGTTTGGAGACTTAATATGAATCAATGAATATAAATATCTCATTTACATATATGTTTTTATATTGATTACACATCAAAACAATGACGTTTGGCTATATTGGTTTAAACGGGTGGCTCTCAAGCAGGAGTGATTTTGCCCCCTCGGAGACATATGGCAATGTCTAGAGACACTTTTTGTTGTCACGGCTGAGGGGTAGGGTGTTGTTAGTGGGTAGAGGCCAGGGATGCTGTTGAATTTTCCCATAATGCATAGGACAGCCCCCATGACAAAGAATTATCCTGGCTCAAGTGCCAAGGTTGATAGTCCCCGATTTAATGGAATACAAAGTGTTTTGCTTATGCTTGAATGATCCTATCTTAGGTTAATAAATGTGAGTAAAATGTGTTGCATTTTTCTTTTACAGAGCACACTTTTTGCTTTTACCATTCATACTAGGGGAGAGTATGCCAAGAATATTTGCATACCCTTAATTTTTATCTTCTGCTGTTCTACAGGCTGCTGTCAGCTGGAGCCACCAAAGTGTATGCTATCCTTACCCATGGGATCTTCTCTGGACCAGCTATTTCCAGAATAAATAATGCCGCCTTTGAGGCTGTTGTCGTCACAAACACAATTCCGCAAGAGGACAAAATGAAACACTGCACCAAGATTCAGGTAGTGTCTATACCGCAGGCAGCCAAGCAGCCAGGCACCTACTTTAGATCCCTAAAAATAGCATCATGTCTTCTGTGTGTGTGGCTCCTTGCTAAGGCACATGCTTGGCAGAGGCAGCAGCTTCTCATGATGGCAGGATATAAATCATATTAGATCCCTGAAAAAGGCCGGGACCAGCAGAGGTCAACGTTCGCTATTTAGAAGTAGAGAGTGAATAAAATCACAATAGAAAAACGGTCAGAAACGGGCTGTGCTAAAGCTAAACTTAGAATTATCATATGACCCAATAATTCCACCCCTAGATATATGCCCCCCAAATTTGGAAACATATTCAAACAGAAACTTGTACAGACATGTTCATAGCAGCACTATTCACAATAACCAAAAGGTAGAACCACCCAATGGCCATCAACAGACAAACAGACGGCCAAAGTGTGGTCTATCGCTACGATGGAATATTATTCAGCCTTTAAAGGGAAAAAAATCCTGACGCATGCTACAGCATGGGTGAACCTTGAAAACAACATGCTAAGTGAAAAAAAGCCAGATGCAAAAGGAGGAATATTGTGTTTCTGCTTCTAGGAGGTACCTGAGATTGGAAAATACATAGAGACAAAGTAGAATGGTGGCTACCAGGGTCTGGGGATAAGGGGGGCGGTGGGGAGTTATCTATTGTTTAATGACTATATAGTTTTTGTTTGGGGTGATAAAAACAGTTTGGAAATAAATAATGGTGATAGTTACACACATTAGGAATGTAATTAATGCCAATAAATTATATACTTAAATGGCAAATTTGATGTTATATATGTAAATTTTAAACTGATAAGAACAGACACTATACTTGATCTTAGTGAGATAGATAGATAGATAGATAGATAGAGAGATAGAGAGATAGAGAGATAGATAGATAGAGAGATAGATAGATAGATACACATTCACACAATAAAAAAAATGGGGGTGGGAGCAGCAGGCTGAGCGGAGGATCTTCAGAGCTTTGCTCCTTCCTTTCCCTGCTGATTGGATGCCCATGGGCCAACAGAGAGCTGATAATCATATAGATAGCAATTGGCCTGAAATAAGTCAAAGGGTTTGAGCTCCATTTTGCCCCTATGTCTCTGTGAACCTTGGCAAGTCATTTTTTTTTTTTTTTTTTTGAGACGGAGTCTCACTCTGTCGCCCAGGCTGGAGTGCAGTGGCCGAATCTCAGCTCACTGCAAGCTCTGCCTCCAGGGTTTATGCCATTCTCCTGCCTCAGCCTCCCGAGTAGCTGGGAGTACAGGCGCCCGCCACCTCGCCCGGCTAGTTTTTTGTATTTTTTAGTAGAGATGGGGTTTCACCGTGTTAGCCAGGATGGTCTCGATCTCCTGACCTCGTGATCCGCCCATCTCGGCCTCCCAAAGTGCTGGGATTACAGGCTTGAGCCACCGAGCCTGGCCATGGCAAGTCATTTCATTGCTCCAAAGCCTCATCTCCCATCAGCAGAGCGTGCAAGTGCATCACAGTGATCTGCTTCATGATTTCTGATTCCTCAGAGAGAAAAGCAGCTTGCTTGCCACAAAGCAGTAAGTCTGAAAATGGTCAGAATAGCGATGTCATATATTTTCATGCCTGATTAGCAGTAGTTTAGGATGGGAGTTGGCACACTATGGCTCACAAGTGAAATCCAGCCTGTCATCTGTTTCTGCAAATTTTTATCAGAGCACAACCATGCCCATTCATAGATGTATTGCCGGTGGCTGCTTTCACGCTACAATGGGGAAGTTGAGTATTTGTGACAGAGACCCTCTGGCTTCCAAAGCCAAAAATGTTAACTATTTGGTCCTCTATAGTTTGCTAATCCCTGAGTTAGAAGATCACAGTTGTGCTTTTAAATGACGCAGTCAGCGCCTTTTCAGAAACAGAAAGAAAAACCTTCCATATGATGATTAAAGTTAATTTAAAATAACAAATGCCCCTGGAAAAGGGTGTCTCTGGTTAACAGTATCCCTGAAAAGCCTTCTGTCTCTGCACTGAAAATCTCCCTTCCAGGATCCCATACGGGTCTGGTTCAATGGGTTGTAATTTGAAGACATACCCCAAAGCTGTCTGTCCTCCCTCTGTGGGAGGTTTTGATAGCAACACATCACGTATGCTACAGAAATTGTTTCTCAGCTTTCCAGCTGTTCAGTTTTTAAAGAACTCTAACTAAGATGTCCTGCTTCCCTTCTCCCTTTGTTTTTCTCGTTGGCATTTAGGTCATTGACATTTCCATGATCTTGGCCGAAGCAATCCGAAGGACACACAATGGGGAATCCGTGTCCTACCTGTTCAGCCATGTCCCGCTATAAATCCAGAATGGGAAGTGCCCAGCAAGCCTACTCTGACTTCTGACTTGTTTTTGTTTTCTGGATGTTTAGCTGTAGGTACTCAGCAATGATAGGTTAATCACTGGCAAAAGCATCAGATCTTTGTATATGCTAAGATTTATTGTTTCCCCTTCTAAAGCTCAAGATCATTTCTTTCCAGTTTTTGGGGAAATGGTGGTGGTTATTTGGTCTTTAAGTGAACTGTCTTAAATGAGAAACGTTTTTGTCATTTTGACTTTTAACGGGTACAGGTGATCTCTTCCTTTGTTCTTTCAGTACTTTGAGGCGACAACTTTCAAGTATATAATTTCATTGTGGAAGTCATAGTTTATATATTTCGAGGTTGCCAAAGGTGACTTCAGATTAAAACCTTCTGTGTAAATATATATGATAATGCCTATGGACATTTGGGTAAAACCCTGTATAGAATTAATTAGCCTTTTACTTTGGAGTGAACCTTGGAAAATTTATAATTATCATACCATGGATTTTGAATTTTTTTTTTTTTTTTGATAACTCAGTTTCATATAAACCATCTTGGTTATTGTGCTTAATTTGGACCAAATTTTATTTAGCTTAATATGGACACTGACACATTTTGGGGGTATACATCAGACATATCAGAACAGTGTAGTTCTGGATCATTTTTTAAATTACCACTTATAAAACATAACTGTCACTTACCTGAAATGCTGCATCCTAAAATTCCAAAATTATATTGAGCAATCGCCAAGGCCTAAAGCCAATTGACCTTTACAGGTAATCATTCCAGCTAACATTAAATTTAAAGCCTAAGAATGTATAGAGCTAATTTTAAAATAATGATCTCAGATTTTTAAAAAGGATATAGGAACCTGCAGTGTCATTCTCTGAATTCAGAACTGATGGTTTCTATCATTATTTAGCCCCACCTTTGTATTTTAAAGTCCTTCAGAATACTTTTAGGAACCAACTGGACTTAGCCACACGCATTGGAAATTCAGACCTTGACTATTTGGTTTTTCCAGTTCACAAAGGTGATGAAGACTGTCTTGGGAGCAACTTAATCCCAGAAGTTGTACATTTCTTGCGGCTCCTGGCGTGGAAACTTAAGTGAGACCACCAAATACATTGGTCCTGTCCAATTCTACTGAATGGGGATGGACTTGGCACTTACCTGGCCAAAAACAGGAGCCAGAGAAATATGAATATACCAAAGTTGTTTAGCCTCCATCTTAAATTACGTTAGTCAACTTATAGATATTCATATGATCACTTTTCTTTTTAGATACTACATCAACTAGATTCAGGAATATATCATTTGCAGTGCTTGTATTGGTTTAAAATATAAGATTTTAAGATCCTCTAACATTGTACTAAAAAACTTCAATAAAATCATTCTGACTGCTTTCGTAGTTTGTATTATCATTGTGGAGTAATATTTTTTGATGGAGTGATGTGTTGCAGTACCTGAAAATGTTTGCTACTTTACGATTATAGTCCAGCATACAAAATTACAGAAGAGCCAGAAGTTAATTGATGTCAGCTGTTTTCCATTTTGAAGGTGTTTCTTCCTGAAGAACTTACTAGCAATCTCCTTTCCCCCAAAGCATAACAGCTGTGCCACATAAGGTGTCCAAGTTGTTAATTCCACATGTTTCCTATAAAATTAAAGATGGTACAGTGTGTTCACACATCAGAGTAGTGATGTTCAATATCCATCTATTGGAGCAAACCAAGCTTAAATGTAGGCTGCATAAAACTTGTTCTTATTCATTGATTTCAGAAGCACCGAGAAGGATTCCTGTCTCCACAGAACAGCCTGTTCAGTGGTACTTCAAACTACTCTCGTGAGTGCAAAGTAAAGCCATAATTACGTGCTCCTGGTGAAGCTCAGCTGTAAAGTATGTGTAACACTAAGAATGGCAACATGTTGTCTTAAAGTCACAGTGAAATACGAAGAATTACAGCTAGGTCCATCTGAGAAAAAGGGTGATCACAGTGTGTATGAGAGAACATGATAGAATGTACTAGAAAGGAGGAAGGAAGTGAAGAAGTGAAAGCCAAAGACACTTCATCAGCTTTACAATTGCACTTAATAATGATGTCACACCTCTTCAGAGATGTTTCATTTCCTATGGCAAGTCCTGTCTAATCCGCTGGCTGAAGTACAGGGGACAGGGAAGTGGTAAAGGGAAAGATGGAGTACTAAGGCATGCAGAGGTTGGAATCATGCTGGGGAGACCAGGAAGGGCTCGGTGATCACCATTAGATGGTTCATGTCAGAATTTTCCAGAGCCCTATGGTGTGTTCCAATGTGGACTGACGCAGGACAGCAGAGGGTGTTTGGTACATGATGTGTTTCAGCAAGGATGTCCCAGGGAAGAAGGGAGTTAGAGGCTGAAACATACTCAGCTATCCTGTATCTAAATTGCGTGAAATCAACAAGGTTCCTCCTTCTCACTACCAATATTTATCTTCCTGATTTATCTCCCTGTGCCCCAGGAACACATCCCTCCACCTTTTTTCTGACCCTGCTTTCCAAGATCACATCCTGGGTGGTTTCCTTTATTGCAGTCTTTGAGCTCTATTTCCTATTCTGAAAGCATAATGCCCAGGAACACAGACTTCACCACTTACCAGAGTTTTAAAACCAACAGCAACAACGACCTTGGGTTGGTTACTTAACTCCTATGCCTCAGCGTCCTTACATGTGAGATGGGGATAACAAATGAGTGTGAAGTGTTTAGAATTGCTTGGTTTGTACATTAACTTCAGTTTTTAGACAGAGTCTCCTGAACTACCCCTAGAAAGAATGTAAGGTATGAAGAGGCAAGATTTTCATGCGTTTTCTAGGTGTTAAGCCTAGAAGGGAACAGAATGCCCTCCTGCCATTTTAGAAGGGCTACATTGTCTTGGCATGTGACTGCCTCAGTGAGGGGTAGCATTTAGGTGACAAATAGTTGCATGTTAAAAACAAAAAAACTTGATTATGCTTAAAGTAGTGGTTCTACCAGCATGTCCCGTGGCAGCGCTGGTTTTGCCCACCACATTAAAATTTTTTTTGCCCCAGGGCCAGCACTACCAAGTAGAATATGTATATGCTTTTAAAGCTGTTAACCAGGGTGGCCTTACATCAGTAACTGCCAGAGGAAAAGACTGCTGTAATTATCATACAGAAGAAATACCTGACAAATTATCGGATTCCAGCACAGTGACTCACTTACTCTAACTGAAAACACTGGCTGTCACTGTGATGACCGGAATGACAGCTAACAGCAGATCTCAGGTACAGAGGGCACGCTATGGGGCAGCTAACTGGAAATACAAGTATGGCTGAGATTCCTGTGGACATTCTGTGTAGAAGAATTGCTGATACTACTCAGAATGCTACAGTGAGGTCTCCTGGTTGTTGTATGATTTTCACTGGTATAGATGAAGGACAAGGCCCTCAGGTGTGAAAGTGTGATCCTCCAGGTTACGGCTGTGATTTAAAGCCACTGCAACAGGAGTTAAACAAACTGAGTTAACCAGCTTCCTTGAAAAAAAAAGTGAAAAAGAAATTTGATTGGACATTTGAACAGACAGTGGAAACTGCAATTACATGCCTGTCTACTGTTTTATCAATTGATTTCAAACCTTCAGAAATAGAAGTTGGAGTAGTGACGGTTGAAAATCCTAAATTCGGGATTCATACAGAAGCAGAGATTGATGCGCTCACATTGTTGTTAGTTTACCAAATCCATGATGCCACTTACCGGTGTGTTTGGTAACATCAAACCATTATGGACGTCCCTGGACTGAAAAAGGAGCCTCTCCCACTCCTCCTACTACTGAAGTGGTTAGGACTCTATAAATAAAAACAATGCTTTTGGAATCTCAGAATTTTGGGAGGCCAAGGCAGGTGCATCACCTGAGGTCAGGAGTTTGAGACCAGCCTGGCCAACATAGTGAAACCCCAGTCTACTAAAAATCCAAAAATTAGCTAGGCATAGTGGCGCATGCCTGTAATCCCAGCCACTTGGGAGGCTAAGGCACGAGAATCACTTCAACTCGGGATGCAGAGGTTGCGGTGAGCCATGATTGTGCCACTGCACTCCAGTCTGGGCAACAGAGCGAGACTGTCTCAAACAACAACAACAACAACTTTCAGCTGGATGCTGTGGCACATTCTTGTAATCCCAGCTACACAGAAGGCTGAGGCAGTAGAATTGCTTGAGCCCAGGAATTTGAGACTGGCCTGGGCAACATAGAGAAACCCCATCTCTTAAAAACAACAGCAATACTTCCAGTGGGCAGTAGCAACAACAGATAGAAATGAATGCCAGGTGATTATAGAGATAGTAATCAATTGAGGTCATTTACAACAACCTGATTTCATTGTAGCCCTCATTCACCATCCATCCCATCATAAATACAACCAAAAGTGGTGCCCAATATAAATGGGAAGAACAGTCTTCAGTATCCTAACAGATGAGTTCTGTGGCCAAAAGAAAAGCCGGCTAAATGAATTTTACATTTTAAGAGAGTGATAAAAAAAGAGAATAAGAAAGTGAAAAACATAATGCAGTAGAAAATGCCCTAAATTGGGAGTGTGGCAATCTAGATTCTGGTTCCTGACATGCTGCTAGCAAGCTGGGTGACCTTGGGAAAAACGTGTACGCCACTCTGAGTATGAGCATCTTTCTGCAAAAATTAGAGGAAAGATGGTTGCAGAAGTCCCCAGCAGTTTTAATAGGCGATGCCATTTATTCTAGATGTAGTTGGAATAGTGCTAACTGAAGGCACAGATGGTTGCTCTCCATCGGGTAACCAACTTGTTTTGGTTTGCCTGGGACTTTTCTCAATTTAGCCCTGAAAGACCTATATCTTAGGAAACCCCTCAGTCCTGGGCAAACCAGGACATTTGGTCTCCTGTTCCCTCTTCTAAGGTGGATAGTTCTGCATCCCCAGCACCACCGTGGTAAGGAATCCCACGAGCATGGCTTTGATCTTGTGCTGGTTGCGAAAACAAAAAAGCAGGCTATATGATGAGCCCAACAATGTACAGGGGACCTGTGGCATTACAGGTCTTTTAAAATCTGTTCAATTAACTATAGAAGCTCAAGAGCTGTAGTCACAAAATCAGAGAGAAAAAGCAGGGGCACCTTTAGAAAATACCTTCAAGTCTGGCTTGATTACCAGTCCTTTGGCACAGCTACCTTTAACACCTTAAGTGGTCTTCAGAGACCCCAGGGAACAGTCCAGACAGAAGGCAGAGTGCTCTGAAGGGTACCTGATGTACGTTGTCCTTCCGCACATTAAGAGATTCTTAACATTTGTGAGGGCATGGCCATCTGTGTCTGAGGACGTATGATTCTCTGATTTTCCCTATATAAGGAGTGCTAAATCTAGTATTTTCTTGCATGGAAACTAAGACTGACCATGAATTATGGACACATTTTAAGAACTAAAACTGAACACGTCACTCTTTAAAGTCATCCTAATGATTATTTCTGGGCATATTTTAATGTACATTTACCATAGGATGAGCTCAGTATGTGCCATTGACCTTTACTCACCAAAGGAACCAAGGAGCGACCCTAAATTTATTTTCTTTTTCTTCCTTTCTTCCCTTCTTTTCTTTCCTTCCTTCCTTCCTTCCTTCCTCTCTCTCTCTCTCTTTCCTTTTTTTTTTTTTGAGACAGAGGGTCTCACTATATTGCTCAGGCTGGTTTTGAACTCATAGCATCAAGCAATCCTCCTGCCTCAGCCTCCAAATAGCTGGAACTACAGGTGTGCACCACCATGTCTGGTGCAACCCTAAATTCCTTTAAGCCTCAGAAAACTCTGTATTTAGGACCAAGGCTATGGAACAATCTTCTCAAGAATCAAAAGAAAGATAGGCAGAGATCCCTCTCCACAGCAATGGTGGTCTGACCTTGCATTAATTTCTGCACCTGAATGCATTCATAGCATTCAAAGGGCAATTCTTTCTCGAACACTGACCAAGGCTCATTCTTTGTCCTACAATAGTCAGGCTCCTCTGACTCCTCTCCTTGACCAGGCCTATCTTGGGCTTCCCTCTCTGTCACTGTGGAATTTAGTTTGAGCAAGAATCCTGTGAAGTCAGTTTATCGAACAAACTCCTGCCCTTTGTATCTGACCACCGTCAATATCTTATCACCCAGGCTTGCCTTTAGCAAGAATTCTGTTTGAGTTGATCTAGCAAGAATCCCTCCTACCCCTGATGTTTCCTTAGTGGTTTTCCATCCACTGCCCCCAACCCTGTTCGTTGCTTACAAATCTCCACTCGTCCTTGTAGGAGCCAGAGCTGAGATTAATCTCTCTCCCCCACTGTAAGACCCCATTGCAGTCCGTGGTCCCTAAACCTATCACAAAGACCCCCTTGAATGAAGTCTTCCTTAGTGTCTTCAATGAATGTGATGAATAACTTTTTTTTTTAACAATACAAAATTCATAGAAAAAGTCCTTGAATTAAAAAGCACTCTGGGGAAAACCAGTTGGCACAAGAGTGATTTTGGAACAGTCAATAATCCTCCACTGATGTGCACTGGTGCAGCCATAAACACACTTTCAACCCTTGCATTTTGGAGAAGTTTCATTACATGTACATAAATTAGGAATTTTAATACATTGGAGAAATACCACTTGCTTCTCTGTATTTTGACTCATGTGAACATCTTGGCTTAGACATATGTCAAACGGAAAATTCATATTTTTAGTCCTTCCACAGACAAAATGAAGGAGTTGATCTTGTTTCTTTCATTCATTCATTCATTCACTCAACAGTTCCTTATGAAGCCTCTATTAGTATACCATAGTGTTAGGATGTGGCTGTCATATAAGTACGAGATAAATAAAAGACATGAATAAGGCTTACGTGAATCTAGCCTTCAGAATTGACACAGGTCGTTTTTTTTTTTTTTTTTTGAGACGGAGTTTTGCTCTTGTTGCTCAGGCTGAAGTGCAACGGCACAATCTTCGCTCACGGCAACCTCTGCCTCCCGGGTTCAAGCAAGTCTCCTGCCTCAGCCTCCCGAGTAGCTGGGATTACAGGCATGTGCCACCACGCCAGGCTAATTTTGTATTTTTAGTAGAGATGGGGTTTCTCCATGTTGGTCAGGCTGGTCTGGAACTCCCAACCTCAGGTGATCCACATGCCTCAGCCTCCCAAAGTGCTGGGATTACAGGCATGAACCACCACGCCAGGTGACACAGGTAGCTTTATGCACAATCATTTGATGTCAACAACATAGAAGTATGATGGCACCATGCTGTAGGCAGGATAATTTATTTGGAGTGTGTGAAACAGTGGGGTGACCAGGAAAAGGCTAGGAATGTGGCCTGCTGGGTTCAGTTCTCAGCAGTGATTCCAACACTTTTTTCCCCTCCCCAGATTTTCTGGTATATCAGGCTTTGTTCTTTTAGTATTTGTGTTGGTGTGTTCCTACTCTTTTGGTATTTAAAAAAATTGGAAATCGGAATCATTTATATTTTAAGCCTACAAAGACAGCTATATTCAGCATTAAAATGCAAAAAGAACAAAGGTGCACTTGTTTAAAAAGTATGTGACCCCATCTCTTCCAGATTAAAAACTTCCTGCTAGATACTCCATTGTCTGCAAAGCCAATTCTGGTATACTTCTACTGTTGAGGATTTTTTTCCTACATTTATTAGTTTCTCATGTTTCTCTTGCATTTTCCCGAGAGCCAATTTTATCCACAATAAAGTTCCCGAAGTCCTTGATGGAGGCATTTCAGAATGGGGACAGGGGAGGGGGAAGGTAAGAGAGATGTGAAGAACTGGAGGAGGGTGTTGGGGGTGGAGAGATGGGAGGGAGGTTGGACAAACTAGCCCAAGCACCAGCCTTTCCCAGGGGCCAGACACTCCTCAGGGACAGATTCCCTGCTTTCACCTCCCAGCATGTTTCAAAGTTGTTCAGCCTCAGCCCTCTTGCCATTTGGGGCTGGCTCATTCTTTCCTGGGGGAGCTGTCCTGTGCATCGTAGGATGGTGAGCAACATCTCTGACCTCCACCCACCAAATGCCAATAGCAATCCCCATCCCACATTTGTGACAACCAAAAGATGTGTCCAGACCTTGCCAATGTTCCTTGGGGGCAGAATCACCCCTGCTTGACAACCTGATTTATTTTAACCAAGACTTTCTTCCTCTATCTTCTTTCCTGAAGACTCAGGTCAGAGTTACAGAGGAGATTCATCCTGGCCCCTGGCCCAATCACAACTAAAAAAGCATTTTAGCACAAAGTGGATAAGACAACGGCAATCATACCTCACTTTTAAAAATTCAATGCTAGCGTTTTGGTACAAAATGAGGTTTACACCAAAATAATCCCATTACCCTTGCTTTTTTGTTTTTTGGTTTTTTTGTTGTCGTTTGTTTTGTTTCATTTCTTTTTTTTTATTTTTTCCCACGAGGAAAATTTCGCTCTGTTGGCCAGACTTGAGTGCCAGTGGTGGTGTGCGGCACCATGCTTGGCTAATTTTTAAATATTTTTGTAAAGACAGAGTCTCGCTATGTTGACTAGGTTGGTCTTGAACTCCTGGCCTCAAGTGATCCTCCTGCCTTAGTCTCCCAAAGCACTTGGGATTACAAGTGTGAGGCATGGCACCCAGCCACATTATCCTTTTGACGCAGGGCTACAAGCACTGATTTCTACATCTGCCATGACCTGGGCACAAGATTTTGAATCTGTCACTAAATTATTCCCTCAAGTTCCTCTAAGAACAATTCAGCCTTAGAATAAGTCACAAGGATTTTGGTTTTTTTAAATCAAGAGATTAATA